GCGCCTCGTCGAAGCAGTCGAGTTCGCGAAGACGACGCGCGCCTCGGCCCAGTCGAGCACCGTCGCGTCGCCGAGGACGAACTCGACGTCGCAGTGCTGGCGGCGCTCCGGCATGACCTCGTGCCGCACGTGGGTCTCGAACCGCGGCAGCAAATCGTCGGCGTTGATGGCGTGGAGCCGCTCGAGGATCTCGATGCCCACGACCTTGTCGAAGTCGTGGCCGATGGCCGCCGCGAAGACGGCCTTGCCCGCGCCGCAGCCGACGTCGACGAAGACGCCGCCCGGCCTTAAACCGTCCTCCAACAGGACCCCCAGCAGCGCCACGAAGGGCTCGTACTCGACCTCGCCGTAGACGAGCGACGAGTGCGTGAACTCGTTCTCCTCCCGCGCGAGGCGGCTCGCCTTCTTGCCCAGCGTCTTGGGCCAGGGGGCGTACAAATGCTTGAAGAGCTTGTGGCCGGCGCTGCTCTCGAAGCCCTCGCGCTCCGCGGGCGCGCGCTCCGCGAGGTAGGCCTGGTGGTCGCGGATGTCCGGCACGACGGTCGCCTTGATCTGGTCGATGCCGGCGACCTTGAGCGCCGCCATCGTCTTCGAGCGCGCTGGGCCAACGGCAAAGGTGCCGTCCGCACCGCCCGAAATTGACCCTCGAAAGCCGCCCGGGGCAGCCAGCCATCGACATGGCCGCCGCGTCCTTCGAGCCCGGGTCCTGGGTCTGGATCGCGGACGAGGCGGACTTGGTCGTGCCCGCCAAGGTCCTCAGCCGCTTCAAGGCCGGCGAGGCGACGCGCGTCGAGCGCGCGAACGGCGCCGTCGAAGCGCTCGACGCCAAGGCCTCGAGAGCCTGCAGCCCCTGCGACCGCCAGTGCTTCGACGCGGCGATCGAGGACCTCATCACGTTGGACGACCTCAACGAGCACGCGCTGCTCCACACGCTGCGCGCGCGCTACGGGGGCGACGCCATATACACGCGCGTGTCCGACGTGCTCATCTCCGTGAACCCGTTCAAGGTGCTGCCCATCTACACGCCGGAGACGCTGGCGACCTACGTGCGCGCCGGCGGGCGGGCGAGCACGGACCTGCCCCCGCACTGCTACGGCGTCTCCGCCGCCGCGCACGCGGCGCTCGT